CCCCCTGATCTGATCCTAAAAAGCATATAAAGTATCAAACAGAAATAAAAAATAAATAAAAAATCTCCAACTGTGACATTGTACTTTTATTTTGACAACATATTTAAAAATAACATTTAGAACATAAATTTGTCTTCCCAAAATATTTAAAAAAAATCTTAAAAAATACCAAACTGCCGTTAAACGGCCCGGGCGAATTTATGGCAAAATCCGGTAACATGTGATACACTCATATACTTTTTTGTTTATACAAAATTTGTTGTGTTTCGAAAGTGTTTTTTGTTTTTGCTGTACAGCTTCCTCCTCTTGAAACGAAGCAGTGCACATATCTTATCAGCTGTGTGTAAACTACAAACAGATATCATATCAGTTGTTTGTAAATAGCTTAGCCCCAGTTCAGTTATGTTTGTTAACCATGAATATTAATGAGAAGCACTCATGGGGTGTACACTGGATAAACAAAAAACTTGGGTATTTGTTTGCACACAAGAAAATAACCAGTTTACTTGTACAAGATATTATTTTTTCAATAAAATAAATACACTAATGTATGTGGCATGCCTTATGGAGCTATGCTTGTGATTTTCAAAATAAAATGTGAAAAGTGCCCAAAAAACTATTCCGCTACCTTTTAAAACGAAGGCTCGTCACCTGCGTGTTTAATTTTAACATTTCATGAGGCTTTAAACAAACTTTTGTCGACAATAAAGCTTTAGGAAACACTAGCTGACATGATTACGCGAAAAAAGACTTTCTATGTACGATAATTACCAATACACGGTCGATGTTTGTTCCTTTGTTTGACACGTGTCTTGACATATGATGACATACATTATCTTGATAGTATTACAATACACTGTCGTATGATTATATGCATTACATAGTGTCATCAAGATATCTACTTGTGTATTTGGATTAATGTAATATCTTCCTAATTGCGTAGATTCGCGGTTTTTCTTTAAACAGACATTATGGATATGGAGAGTAAATTGCCAGCATTGTTGTGTTTTTGATTAGTCATTAGCGTGTTCACACCTGGATCACATCGGATTTTAAGCGCTTTTGAAAAAAACACACTTACGCCTGAATTAATACAGAGGTGGGCTCAAAACGGAGCTTAAACGCTAGTTTTATGAGAAGGTTCACAGCAAATTTATTGCTGGTTAAGTATGGTTCTGAACTGGATTTGTCTGTCACGGTAAACCTGAATTCCCCACTAGCATATCCTACAATAGTTGACGATTTTTCATGATATTTCGTTTGTTATTTAAATTTGTCTTTAACTCTGTGACTTGGTACGTAGTTTCAAATTTAAAGGGCAACATAAGTGAATATTAAATAATCTTGCTAAGCTGACTCTTGCTAAGCTGACCAACGTGGTTTTAAATATTCGGGTAAATAATTCAAAAAAATTTACGTCTCTAGCTAAAATCGGTATTATTTGCGTTTGTGATTAACAGGTTCACTGTATATTTGTTGACCGGTGTTTTGATTATATAAGGGACCATAATTACAATCGTCGTGATCAATCGTGAAGCAAGATTTGTTTTTTCAATTACTCGGCAAAACGACATAAATACGGTACATGCATGTGTTTCACGGATTAACCGTCAGTAATACTCACATTAAACCCTATTATTACGTAATCTATCATGATTGACGATTACACTGTATCTATGGAAACTATATGCAAGATATTTGGTACATCTCAACTTTCCCCATCAACGTTTCTGTAAATAAGACGACGACTTAAAATTACAGTTTTAAACGTAGACGTAATCACTGTATGCAACGATCCAAAACTGTATTTAGGAATTTGCTAACAATATATATTCTGTTTGTTTTGTCCAACTGTTGCCACTTGCTATTCAATTTACAAAATAATGATAGATGCACTGGCAATATGATATGGTGATTGGGGTAGTGGTGGTGGTGGTGGTGGGGGGGGGGCAATATTCCATATGTGAGTATATCTGTTGTCGCACTCGCAAAACAACAATACCTACAATAGTGTTGTCCTGTGAAATAGACGATTCAAGGAAGAGGGCGACGTCCCGTAAGCAGTAAAGTTCGGCTAGTTCTGTTAATTAAATAACGTACATTAAATGTACACTACAAAGATTTTCGCTATTGTACTCGAGTTATTGTACTCTTACTATTTGAAATCACAAACCAAACAATCGCCGAAGTGTACACAAAAACAAAACAGAATTCCGATATTTTGTTAATAACCTTATTGTACATTTTCTAAAGACTCTGGACTCTTTTGCTTTCAAAACTAGTATACCACCAGGCGCTGTTAGTGACGTATGAAATTTACATAATCACTCGCGCGCACTCCACTGAAAAGAACCCGTGTGTTCGTTTCGTACTCCGATCAAACCCCGGTGATCGGCCTCCAAGAAAGACCGTAACCGCTCTCTCATGCTTTTATAAAAATCAATAAAAGCTGTCTAGTAATTATATTTGTGTAGTCACGTTACGAATATTTTCTGAAAATATTGTTACATGTATTAACGACCGGAAGATGCGATTAACGTTACAGAGTCGGGGCCAGGATAATGCCGTCTTGACGGAATTCGTTGATAACCACTGCCCAAATGTAAATCAGTGATTATAACAGCACGGAACAATATGTGTCGCGAACGCATACCGTCATGTGTATTAAAAATGCGATTGAAATTGAAACCGGTAATTTTGAAAAACGATCAAAATGTTCAATTATTCAGCGAATTTACTCATTGTTTACATCACCATTTTAATTTATTTGTGCTTATCAGTGCACATGGCACGCTCTCGCGAATTGTTGATGTGTGTGTCAGCAGTTTCATATTGCGTTTCAGAGAGGTCTTAACTGTGCATTTTTACTTCATTGATATATTTTGTGAAATGACATTTCAGTGTTGGTATATAATTGAATATTTGATAAACCCCAGCCGGATTCCAAACACTGACAATATGAATTACACACGCGTACATTATTAACTCATGCGAAACTGCGTGCATACACCTATATCAAAACAGTATGAGCAACATAAACGAACAAATCAACAAATCACGTGTATGAATAACAGAATATAAGATGTCGAAACCTAATTTCATAAAAGTCCATAGAAAAATCAGATTTCTAACACGCTTAATAATTGTTTCTCGTTGTATGCTACAAAAGAATCGACAGAGACCCAAACCAAGCAAGTGAGTTCAAAAACAGTTTTTATTTAAAGCGAGGTGGTCGTCGCGCAGCTCGTGTTAGAATTTCATATAAATAAACAATGTATTTTACACGCGTTGTAAACGTCGCTGTGAGTCTCATAATATCGAACAGGACGCGGCACCGCCCTTTAATACAACGATTGTATGCAATGTGTTCACCTGTGATTGCGAATGACTGTGACATGACGTAATGAAATTGTCACTTTTGTGTTAAACTAATTGTCGTCGTCATCAAATAAAAAACGATATTAATTGTTTCCATGTTTCACAACTTGAGATGATAACTCCGCAAATAACATGTCAAAAATATTTTTTTCAGCAATTAGATTTTATTTTCCCTAAATCATCTTAAAAATGCCATATGTGTATTTCAGATTGTGGAAGCGCCCTCACTGTCACTCCGTGCCCACAAACCTGCATATATTTCACAACAGTTCAGTATTTGTAGGGTTCACGCCTACTAATAAATTAAGAGGCAGTTAGTAACGGGGATTTATCAATGTCAATTACAAAGCCTGGCTTCAAAGTCTATAAAGTGAACATAATCCACACTAATTGTTTCATTTGGAGACAGACCATCGATGTTGTCATATTGCCGTTGACTTCTTCTTGATCGTCGACATAACGCAATTATCTGACACAGTGATTTGGGTTCACCGTAAACTATTCTTCAAAATCATGGCAGCAAATTTGACTGAAACAACCAATTCTACGGAAACACTTCCAAACGTCATGGCAACGAATTCGACGGAACTGTTGCTCAATATCATTGCAACGAATTCAACAACGGACACAGCTCTGGGTATTTTTGCAACGACTTCACCTGAAACATTTCTCAATATCACTATAGGAAGTTTGACAAACGCACTCCCCTGTAACATACCATATAATTCATCTGACGCATATATGGATGCAAATGCAACATATTTAACTGAAGTAGTTACTGACATGATTGAAGTGAACTCATATGAAACAGTTCTGGATATTTTATCGGCGCTTCAATGCATCGCTGCTGCTTTATGTGGGACAGCGGGCAATGCTATGGTGTGTGATGTTGTGTATTCTAACAAGAAACTAAGAACCCCGCAGAACCTTCAGCTAGTGTTGTTGGCTATAACCGATTTGACAGTTTGCGTCTTTAATTCATCGATGCGGTTTGGTTTAGTGGTGAAAAGTTTTCTGTACGGTGAAATAAACATAAAAGGTCTTCTTTGTAATTTTCAGATTGCTGTTTATTACACCACAGTTGTCACAACTATAGTTTCTCTAGGATCTATCAGTGTAACGAGAGCTATATGTACTGCGAATAAGTATTCACGGAGCACCATAAGAAAGGTGATATTTAGTTTGATGGCTCTCAGTCACGTTATAGGAATGGGATATGGTGCGTGGAAGACATGGGCTGGGGAAGATGTCACCTGCAACTCAGAACCGGTGAGTCAAGAAGTGAAAAACGCTACAACGAGTGGTATAATCATGGTATTCTTATCACTGTGTACAATGGTGTTGTCATATTCCTACATCTACCAGGTGACCAATAAACATGAGAAATCCTTTCAACGATATCTGAACGATGGCCATCAGCAAACAAATCGTAAACCTGTGAACATTGCAACACTGAATATAGCCATTTTACTCATCACTATGTTTGTAATATCGTACTTACCACTGCCAATATATGGTCTTATAATACTCAATGTGGATGAATTTAGAAATGAACATATATGTAGCTTCTTCGTAGCGTTCACATGTTTTGGCAGCATGGCCAATATTATTGTATACTCTTTAACCTCCAGTCCGTTTAACAAATTTTTACCTTTTAACAAAAAAAAACACAACAACCAATGAAGTTGTTCTTAAGTAATTAGGCACAATAGAGCAGAAACTCAAAATACCAACAAATATTTTATTTGAAATCTCATACACAAGGCAAGCTTACGCCTTGAACAGAAATATATACTTTTGCTTGGTCGTATATTAACACCAAAGTTTGTTTCATTAATTCTACTTTAACTGAACTCCAACTGGTGACATAAACATTAGTAACAAATGTTGAACACCAAAACATTTGATTACACTTTCTGGAGATTGTTTTGTTATGCCAAATCATCTGGGACTAACTATAGTTAGTTACACACATTTTCGGAACTATGCCATAAGGTTTCGTCATCTAGTAGCTCTTGCACATTTCAATTTTTATATAAAAATCAGAATGAAATACATAATTCAATTGGGGACACTTGGTTAGTGCGTGTGATAATAATATTTTTTCTAATATTTTTCGTCGTTCCGCAAGAGGGCAGTACTGGTATTTGACGAATGGTGACACATCTTTCATATTTGAAAAGGGGATAATTAATATATAATTATTTGTCACATATTGATTATCAAAATGATAGTGCCTTTGTTGACAAATTGATAACGTAACACATTACTTGTTAGTAAATATTGTGATTTATTAAACCACCATAGTTTCCATGTTTTATCCCCAAAAGAAACGTTATTGTTTGCATTTCATAATAAGTGTCTCCAAACTAAACACGTCAAACATATATACAATGTCGGTAACCATTCATTTATCATTATGAACGCATAAATACAATTCGGTAAACTTCGGTATACTGTTGTACAATTATATTAGCTAATGACACATGCATGTACCTTGGAAGAAGTGAAGATCAATGCCACATAATGCAACGAATTTCAACTATGCCTATTAGAATAATTCATTTAAACGTGTGTAACCATAGGCGAGATTGTATATCAGGACCTAATCACTAAAAAACAAAGAAGTAAAGCTATGTATATTAACACATATGCATAAATGTGTTCTCAATACTGAGAGCCAATATTGTGTATTCTTACAGATAAATTCACTGAAGAAACTCTTATGTACTTTATTGATTCTGAAAATTTTCTCATTTAAATGTAGTATGATTGAACAAATTATAATGTAGCTTATATGAAGTGGTCGATATAAAGTTATTTGTCATTTCAAGATAAATACTTCTTTCAAATTTCAAATTGTGTTTAAATATTTAAATAAAACTAATTAAATTCAAGTAGTTTTAGGGACTTTACTCTGATATGAAATATATGAATTTGCATTTGTTCTGAAACAGAACCGTTAATTAACAATACTCCATTCCAACATTTTCTGCATTATCCAATCGCTAGGCAAAATCCACAAGTGGAGCGTTTCAGATTGTTACATGTTAATGCTTCGAATTTTCATTAATGTTTTGTGTATAAGAAGAACTATATATGTATATTTAAAGCGGAGGAGTCGTCACATGCGCGTGCGTCATATGGCCATAGCGTGTCGTTGTCTACCCACGAGCCTTTTCGTTTTTAGAGTGTTGTTATCGTAGCTTCGTACTCAATTCCCGCTCGTGCCCAGGTGACGACCCCCCGCTTTAAATGCAACAGCCGCGAATATTATTTTATTTTCGGACATGAACGACGGTTCTTTCAAACTAGCCATTTCGTACGAATCTTGCTTTTGCTCGAAACTGTTGATATTTTATATGTACTTGATGTATGCATTTTTATGTAGATTTCTGCCATTTTTTTATTCAACATTTTTTATTCATTAAATATTATTAATTCTACATCTGTCACCGTAACGCCATATGCTACAGCGTGCCGTAATTCTGCGGCATTTTACGGGGTATTTTATCTTATCATATTAAAAAATGTGAATTCTAAATATGGAATGATAATTATTAATAAAACCAAACACGGCTGCCACCAGGGATTGACCGGACTCAACACAAAAAAGTTTACTGATTATGTTCTAATTGTTTGGATCATTTGCCGGACAGTACGCCGTCGCGTAGGTCGATACTCCCTCTGTACTGTTTACGTGCATATTTTCGGTATTCTCGCAATAACCTCATAGTATTACATTGGCCTACGACATATGACGTCACAATATGATGTATCGGTATGAAACCTGTATGAAGTTAACACATAAGTAACATATTTTTCACATAGTTTAATCCTGTAACATAAGTTGTTTGGTAATCCAACACAAATTGATTTTATGTAAGTTTTATTTTTGTTTTGTCCTGTAAGTTGATTGAAAAACAATAAAATCCATTGTTCATCTTTTGGAATATTAGTGTGTCTTTCATATCGGCGGACGTGTACAATTTATGCTATGTTTAATGTTGGGTACATAACGCATATGTAATGCGTCTAAACAGACCAGTAATGACTCGAGTCAAAATTGTACGCTTTTTTGCAACGCAACGCAAGCAGCTGTATAGTTTTTTAAATCGCATATCAGTGTTTAACTCTATACAAAAAGAAGACTTAATCGCGCGCGAAACCATGTTGTTTCGAGCGCTAAAACCACATTCGGCATTTGTAAATGTTACGAGGCCGAGTGACGTTTACAAGGTGTTGACTTTAAGTGCGGTTGCTACACTTGAAATATCACATCTACGACTTATCCGAGAGTCCGGCGAAAAAAACTAAATGAACGCACACAATGCTTCACCCCTATATTTTCAGTGGAAAAGGTTACTATTGCTTAAAGCGGGAGGGTCGCGCGAGTATTGAGTCCCAAGCGACGATAACAACACACGCTAAGAACGCAAAGGGTCATGGGTAGACGCTTGTTTGTAAACAATGACACGCTATGGCCATCTGACGCATGCGCAGGTGACGACTCCCCAGCTTTACACACGAAAATATGTATTGAGAAGGGGAAAGGATATTTTCGTTCAACGTAATTGCAATATCTTTTTGTTCGTACTACGTAAATTGAAAAAAATAAATTCCG